ATGATGATGATGATGACGATGTTGACGAACATCCTCCGTCCAGGGCACCAGGGTTGAGAATTCAGCGCCCCACTCCCCTATCTCATAAACTTCCGAACCCTCCGGCACCGGCATACTGTTGCTTGATTCAGTGCTGCTTGTTTCAGACTCCGCAGACCGAGCCAGCACTGTACTAAGACTGAACTTTGAAGCACGGTTCTGAACTCCGGCAGCTCGCCGGAAATATCAGAAGGCCAGCAAATGCCAGCAACCACTCAGTAGCCCACCAGGGACGAGCCCGCATAGACGATGCCATCCGGGTGCTTCGGGGTGAAGATGCACTTGTTGCTTTCCACGCTCCAGCCTCAGTCAAGGTACTGTTGCGGGCTCATACTATCCAAGCACGACGGATAGTACAGATAGAAAGCGATCATGCCATGAGACCTCTTTCGATCGCTATGGCTGCTAGGGGTTCCCAAAACCGGTTGTCCACGGTATGTAGTTGTCACGTACTTCAGTGCCGGCGATGCTATCTAGAGCCCCCACGCCGTTGCAACACGAAGTGAGCTTCCCTCATTCAGGGCGAATAGCTTCCATCGGGTAACTGCACCGTTCGCGGCTGGAGAACTTCTGGTTGTGTGCGGGTTGGTGCTTTACAGCGCGAAGATTCCATGGCACTATCAGTGCAGGGTCGCCCTAGCAGCAGAAGTTCCACATGCCCGGAGGTCCAATAGAATCTATAGTAAGCTCCGAACACCAGCGAGAAAAGAACGCAACAAACCCTAATCCCTAATCATAACCCTGAAACCTAAACCTTTAGGGTAAACCCCAAATCCAAAGCCCCATACCTTAAATCCTAAATCCACATTAAACCCCTTATAAACCCTAAACCCTAAACCCCATACCCCTTAACCCACAAAGCCCTTTAATCCATTGGATCTTCAACCTGAGATCCGGGCCAAAAGTTGAGGAACCATCGGTTGGGGTCCCTCGGCCCTGGGGCACCTGCCAGGCCCAGCAGGTTGCCGCTGCTTTTCGGAAAACCGGTTCAAGATGATGTAGGAGCCTTAATTCATAATCAGAATAGGGCCTTGGGGTATATTCTGCTATACTGCTTATATACTTATAGTAAGGAATCCCCAAACATGGAATAGGTAATTTGGTTTTTGGGCCCCACATCACGGAGCCAGGCTCGAGGACTTTGCTTTAGGGCTCTGGAGGGTTCGGGTTCAGAGCTGACGGACTTGGATGACGGCTCCCCTGAACCTGAGGGTTTTAGGGTTTAGGGGTGTAGGGGTTAAGGGTTTGGGGTTTAGGGGTTAGGGTTTAGGGCTTTAGGCTTCAGGGTTTAAGGTTTAGGGATTTCTACAGGCCCAAACCTGAAACCCTGAAGCCCTCAAAGCCCAAGCCGTCTGCCTGGCTGCCGAAGGCGGGGAGAGTCGTGGCAGCTTCCCATGGGTTGATGCCTGGTTTCGCATTTTGGGTCTAGGACTGTAGGGTTCAGGGGTTTCGGGTTGACGGCTTTCTTGGGGGTTTAAAGTTTCAGGTTTAGGGTTTCGGGGCTTTTGGTTGAAGGTTTAGGGTTTAGGAGGTTTGGGGGAATGACTCATAACCCTACTAGCCTGGTGCACCCTTCGTCATGTAAGCCTGATGAGACTCTCTCCTGCTTCTTCGGACTGTCCGTTCCTGCAGGCTCGACGCATCCAGAGAGGATTCGCAGGCTTGGGCAGCAGTATTTATTTGCGCCAAGGGCGGTTCCATGAATCAAGATGAATCCAAAGCTTTGCAGGTCCGCGCATCCTATATTGAATCGTAAATCCGAAAAGAACCTTAAGCCGGGAAACCTTGATTCTGTCGTTCACGGCTCACAGGCTGCTTGCTTGTGCCGAATCGTTGTGTGACACCGACCGAATCTTGCTTCTGCGAGCCTTCGAAGGCCGTGGGCATTCTGCAGGTGTAGCCCTGACTTTGCAGCATGCGGCGCTTAGGTTTAGTGTTTAGGGTTTAGGGTTCAGGTCATTCAGGTGTTCGGATCTCCGCTTGGGAATTCGCTTGTTCGGGAGTCGTGCGTTTGCAGAGTGGCTTGAAGGATTGTTCGGATTTGGCCAGGCTAAAGGACGAAAATAGCGCCTATATAGGCCCAGCCTGGCCACTCGTTTGCGTCTTCACGTATACCCTGTGTGTTGCCACATGAAGTCATCTACCAATGCGTGCTGCTGCATAGGACTATCCCAATGTGTATGTACGCCTATGCACATATCAGCATTACAAGCCGTTTTGCATTTTTTACGTAATTCTCACATGTCTTCTACACAGCGTAGTTTACGTCTCATGTAAAGCAGATGCCTACACATGCAATGGCATATACGGAGAAGGTTAGCGCTTCCAGTTCCGTGTGCATAAGAGGTATAAAAAGTGTGTATACGTGTATGTCTGTTTACAATGCACAATCGCGAACTACTTGCGTCGAAATGAAATCTGCTTACACGTGGGGCTTCTGGTTTGGGGACGGCCGGTGCAGTCTGGGCACCCTACCTGCGCCTACTGTAGAATTTGCTCTCAAGGCCAAGGGCTGACAAACAAAACAACACCCAACAACGCCACACCCCAAGCCCCAACACTCTAAACGCCCAACAACCTGAAACCCCCACCTGTACAGCCCATGAAGCTCTTAACAGCAAACTTGTAGAAGCCAGGAGCGGATTCTGAAACCCCATCACAAGAACCTGATTTAGTGGCCCTTATAAGCCGGATGGTAGAGTTCTACCATCTACAGTCTACTTTAGGATTGAAGCTCCGCACCCCCCCACCCCCACCACCCCCAAACTGACAAGTTTCTTCCCGCCTCCGGGAGCGTAATCGTGAAGGAGGCATCGTTCTTAGCGGCGGCCAGCTTTATGGATTGAATATTCGGGGCTTAAGCCTTGGCGTTTCAAGTTCAAGGTGAAAGGCTTTGAGTTTTGGGGCCCGGGTGTTAAAGGCTCTGAGGGCATGGTAGGCTGCGGAATAGCGAGGCTTGTACGGTCTAGGGCTGTTAATGGGCTCAGGTAGAACTCCGAACTCTTATTCTGGTCCTTGACCTCGGGGGGCGGCTCGAATCCCACTGTAACTCCCTAAGTCACTACCCTTGAATATGCCCCGCAGCCCTACTAAAACTACTAAGGGCCTTACATTCAGCTCGAAACCCTAATCCATCCTCTTATGCGCGCTGAAACTCTTCCTAAGTCCTAGCGTGCCGGCATGGGCCCTGCAGCAAACAGCCAAAGCCCACATGATAGTCCAGCCGCTGTCCGCTAGAGACCTTGGTCCACCTGACACTACACTATTACTTGGACCCTTCGGAATTATATACCCTACACCCAAGAGCAAGTGCAAACCGAAAGATGTGGGCTGCGGACGTAGGTGTCATCTCGGGCTTTGATCGTCGAGGACAGCGTAAGCCTTCGCGGCGGCCGGCGAGGCATTGTTTAATTGCATGCTTGCGAATGATGCTATTATGGCCTGATTGCGATCAGTGCTGGTATCTTCTGCTGCCTATTCTGAGCATGCCTGCTTCTTCCGTTATTCTTATTTCTATTCCCTCTATTGCTGTTTAGGTGTAGGGTAGGTTTAGGGTGCCGAACAGAACGGATACAAAGCAACAGACGGAGAACAAAGCCTGCCTCAGGCGGGTTTACGGTTTAGGATTTCGGGTTATTGTCTGCTACATCATTCGGCCCATGCTGACACCGATACCACCTTTGGGGTTGCCAAGCGCAACCTTCTCGGAGCAGAGAAGGAGACTTGACATTGTAGAAGCGAAAAGCCGCTCTGGGCACCTCTGGGCACCTGTAACCCTCAAACCTGAACCCTACTAGAACCCCTAAACCCTAAGACCCTAAACCGTAAACCCTATATAAACCTGAACCACCAACATGCTGTTGCAGTTGCTCTGCGTGGGTGGATCGGAGCAGCCTGGCGTAGAGCACATTCATCTGGTCGCCACGGAATGGCATGGCATTTCCTGCGCCGATCAAGGTCTGGCCTGACTACTTTAGTATCGCTAGAATCAGGTCAATACTGCAGGTATACAAAGACTAATTGGGGAAAGTATTAACGTTTACTCCGACCCACATATTCGGAGCACAAGTAGCTTAGCAGGGAGTGCGCCCGAGTGTGTTTCAAAGCTCGTGCTGTGTCAAGATTGGGCACCCTGCTGCCTCCCCCAAGCTGTGAGACAACCTTCGCAATCGTGATGCCCGTATTTGGCTCCTGCGGTTGCATCGTATGTTGACTGTAGCATCATGAACTCTGGGGGCATGGTCCGTCATGAGTCGCCCCACTTGACGGATTGGCCTTGTAGATATAGCTTCCGCTCGACAGCACGTAGTTGGGACGCTGATCGAATTGGTTCGTGACCTGGTCGGATAACTTGAGAAACTTGGCTTCAGCATGGTGTGGTTAATTAAACCCGTCGACTCCATCATCCGTGAGAAATGACAGCAAAGAATCAAAGGTGGTGGCCGTACTGTTTTATCCCTTGCTCTGCGGCACCCACGCAGGGTGTGACGTGCCTGCGCCGCCAAGCGCTGAGCAAAGAAGCCGCCGGAAGGGATTGTGACGCCTGCACGGTCTAAACATTTTGGGTAATCAAAAACATTAAGCCGAGCTTTTTTACCGGAAATGCTTGTGTGTTCAAGATTGCTGGGAGGCAATGCGCTCACAAGCTGACATGTTGGCTGCTCTATCCACAGCTGGTGCTTTGCGGGATTGCAGTTCTCAAACTCTCACTTTGATCCCGTCAAAAAGCCAACCACACTGATAAGAAGGCTGGTACGCTGCTTCATCAAGTGAGTTGGATGGAGCAGCAGCGTCGGGCGAAAATGGCGAGAACTTTCGTGACTGACGCCGCAGAGCAGCTGCAGCAAACAGTTGACACACGCCCGCCGGGCGCGCGTGATTTCTCCTCCTGCCAAGCCTTGCGAACTTGAACTTGGCAAACAGCATGCCGCACGGATGCAGCCAGGTAGTCATTTTGGCGGGGATGTGCACTAGCCGCACTAGCCTGACACCGCACGCACGCTCATCTGCAACCATATGAGCTGTCAGAGTGCTCCCAGCAGCTCATTGTCGCACTCGCATGCTTTGTGCATGTTTATCGGCATACCACGACATTCTACATCGGTCGTGTTCCCTTTCTCGTTGCAATGAAGCGTATGCCTGCTCCGTCCAGCTCAGCAGTTTGCGCCTGCAGTTTGAGCTTCATGTCTCCTCGCTCCTTTGCATGCCTCAGTCTGTCTTGCAACAAAACTCCAACAAGGAGAGCCGCCTCTGTCTGAGGCGTGAAAGCCTCCTCCTCAATTTGAGCTGTCCTCGCAGCTCTTGTGTGCCATCTGCCCATGAGTGAGCATGCCCCTCTCATCTCCTTCAGAGAAGCCTGAAGCTGATCCACCTCATCCTTTACTTTAGGATGGATTCGACGTTGGAGGGTTGAGCGGACACGACAGTTTCGGCTCAGGCTCGCAAAGAAAGTGAGGGAGGGCCATGTGTGTCCACATGCAAGGCGCTAAGCTCGCCGACGCACACAATATGCTTTTAATGAGCTGGACCGAAGCTCCGAAAACACTTTTCTGATGTACCTACGGCGGCAGAAAATATTTAGCTTCGAGGTTCCATTCTGGAGCCGAGCGATTAGCACAACAGCCAGGTTGTCACGCTGTCCACGCAATACACTGCAAGGAGGCGGGCAGCGACCGTCAGCAAAATGATGGTGCCTGCCTCCAATGCGAATGCGCACCTTCCGATTTCCGTAGAGGTCCTGGCTACGGTCGGGGGTGAGGTTGGGGGAGTCAGCAGTACTTCTCAAGGAGAAAAAAGTGCTAGTACTAGTAGTGGTAGCAGCAGCAGCAGCAGTGGTAGAAGATAAAAGAAGTGGCCGAAGCAGGAAAGGTAGCAAACGTAACAGAAGTAGTAAAAGTAGTAGGAAGTAAACAACAATTGCAGCAGTAACAGTCGCAGCTCAGTAGCAATAGCAGTAGCGGAGCGGAGCAGTAGCAGTGGCAGTAAAAGTAGCAGTAGCGGTAGCAGGAATATCAGCAGCAAAAGTAGAAGCAATAGAGCAGGAATAAGAGTGGGAGGAGAAGGAGCAGGAGCAGTAGCAGTAGGAGTAGCAGTAGAAATAGTAGTAATAACAACAACAGTAGTAGTAGTAGTAGTAGTAGTAGTAGTAGTAATGGTGGTAGTAGTAGCAAGAACCTTTGTACTAGTGTAGTAGCCCTAGAAACTTAGACATACTCGAAATACTCTTTTTGCTCATGCTAGTACAAGTACCAGTACTCGCAGTTGTGCTACTACTGTAGTCGTACTAGTGGCGGTATGGGTGGTTATTCTAGTAGCAAAGACCATAGAAAGAAAGATCGTAGCATAAACAGTAGCCGTACCGGCAGCAGTAGTTGTAACACCAATGAGCTTATCCAATCCATAGTTGCCATACAAGAAAGAGAATGCTACCACCAAAAATCAGAACAACCCTAACAATAGTACCAGTAAAAGCATAAGAACAACAATACTGGCTGCAATAACAACAATGGTGGCAATAATAACAATTAGACTGGGCTTATTAGCCACAATAACAAGATTGGCAATACAAGCAACGATAACACGAAGAAACATAATGACAATGACGATAACAATAGTAACAACAATGACAGCATTGCAATAACACCAGGCAGACAATACCAATAGCAACTAAATTTCTACTTTCGTACAAAAAATACTTCTGGCTCTGCCAGGCTGCCGCCTCAGCTGTAGACAAACACGATGTGCCCGGAACGGAACTTTCGAGCACTGCTTCACAAGTTCAATGAACACACAACCCCCAACGGCCCTAAGTGCATATTATATATACATACGCACAGAGAGAGGGAAAGAGAGACTGAGAGAAAGAGAAAAAGACTGAAAGAGACAAATAGAGAGAGAGAGAGAGAGTCAGAGAGAGAGAGAGAAAGAGAGAAAGAAAGAGAGAGAAAGAAAGAGAGAGAGAGAGAGAGAGAGAGAGAGTGAGATAGAGAAAGAGAGAAAGAAAGAAAGAAAGAAAGAGAGACAGACAGACAGACAGACAGACAGACAGACAGATGTATATGTATATATATATATAGTTTGTATATTATATTTGTACACATGTGTATCTAGATACGCATACATGTTTATCTACATATATTCATGTAGGCATACAGTACATTGATTGTTTCTTTGTTTCTAAAAATTCTAATTACAATAGCTTCTGAGACCTTTATCTTGTGCATTTATACATAGTATGCATATATGCACTATTCCCAGTCCCATACGCACAGCCCTCCGTTCGCGACGAAGGCAAGCATGCGTGGGCGGCATCGAACTGGCAATCAGCGGCCGTCGCGCACGAGGGCAGCGTGATCTTCAGGATGTTCAGTGCCATACCTCCAGGCTGCTGCCACCGACACAAACCCGGAGGAAATCGTGTGAAGGCGTCTACCGAACCAACACTGAATATAGAGTTGCTGAGATGAAAAGCCGATTTCACCGTTTCGCACCAAGCTCCCCATGCAGCCAAGATCCCCTCATAAATAAGGCCTGAATAAGTACCAGTACTATTTTGGGGCTCCGTATCTAGTCTAACCATTAAGACCCCTATATTAACAGATTACCATATCTGTTTTCCTGCAGTTTACGCTTCTATTTTTACACGCTAAGTAGGCTTCCGTTTGCCAAACGCACTAAAACTCAAATCTTTCGTCAAAGAGTTCCGCACGGCCCACGTCCCTTCAAGTAGCCATTGTGGTAGCTTTGAGATGAGAGCATTCAGCTGACAATCTTGGATGCGCACTGGGAGATATCACTGAAGAGCAGGAAAGCCCATAGCAAGAATTTCCAAACCTATACAGCAGTATCTGCAATGTTGGGCTTAAGCATTATCGGTGAGAGAGCTGTCAGAATAACGAGAGAAAAGGCTCCACTGCATCGGAGCCTGGGACGGTCGGCAGACCCAAGCAAGAGGTGATCTGCCCACAGAGGAAGCTGATCTGCAGGAAGCGGAGGCCATGCTGCTATGAAGCATTTGAGGGAGTGCAGATGCATCGATGCTTCGGGGCGATGCTATCGGTATCTAAAGGGATGTACACACTACATGTAGAGCCTCAATCGAGTGAAGGTATCGCTTTTGTAAACTAGACTTACCGCGCAATGCGCTCCTGACAGGTGGCTTCAGGGTCTCGTCCTCCATAAGAAAGTGGGACTGTCGGTTGAATCCTGGCTCTAACCCAGACAATCTGGGAGGATCTAGAAAGTAGATCCCTTAATGGGGTTCCTATATAGAGCCCTTGGTAGCCTAGGGTCTCAATTTAGGGGTTCTACTTTCTCGATCCTCCCGGCAGGTCTGGGATTCTGGGTGATTCTGGGTGGTAAACCCGAAACCCTAAACCCTAAAACCCTAAAACCCTAAACCCTAAAACCCTAAAACCCTAAACCCTAAAACCCTAAACCCTAAACCGGTCGTTCTGGAGGACAAGGGGGGCCTCAAGGGCCTCTGAGGCTTCGCATGGCCTGCACTCGGAACTGTCCACCCAGCGCCCGTGAGAACTAAAACCCAAAGGGCAGGGTTTAGGGCTTTAGGGGTTTTAGGGGCGTAGGGTTCAGGGTTTCAGGGGTTTAGGGACTTAGGGCTTCGGGTTTAGGGTTCAGGGGTTTAGGGGTTTAGGGGCTTAGTGTTTATGGTTCAGGGGTTTAGGGGGCAACCCTAAACCAAGAAACCGCCTCTCCGCTTTCGACGCACTGGGCCGTGCAGGAGCTGGTCGTCTGCCACCTCGCTTTACGGCGACGGTCGCACGCACGCGAGAGTTCGATTCGCCGGGGCTTGGAGTGTGGCTTTGAGCTTGCTGTTATGGTATTATAATTATATTACATTACATTTTTTTATTTTTACTGCATTATGTTATATTTTCATCTACTATAGTGTATTCTACTGCATGATATTATACTACACTTCATTATAGTATACTATCTCGAAAGGAAGTGCAAAGGGCTAAGGCAAAGACATAGCAATCAGAAGTCGCATGTGAGCTATGCGCACAGAGATGCCGCTCATCTCCGACGCCGAATTCATCGACCTTTTCACCCTCAGCAATTGACTCCCTAAACTCACGAAAACGAAGTATCCACTACCCAAAAAATCCCCAAACACTGAACTCTGACGAGCACGAAAGCAAAGACGGCTGAGGAGGCAGCTGCGTCAGGGGCCACAGGAAGATGCGCACGATATCCCTGAGACAAGCCGATGCGAGAAACACTCACTTCTCCGGCGCTGTCGGATATCGAGGCTTCCGAACGAGGAAGCTCGGTTTCGACCGACGTCCTCGGATTGAGGTTGCTAGTATTACAACTCATCTAGTAGCCAGCGATGATCTCGTGTAACGTTGGTGGTGTTTCTACGCAGAGGAATGACGGTAGAATATAGAACATAGAACACAGAATACTGAAGAAACAGTATATAATAACATAACACGATATAACATCATTCCATATCATACAATATAAGATAGCATAATTAATAGAACAGAATAGAATATAATAGAATAGACTGACCTGAGGCCGGGACAAGCCCTGGA